AGAGAGCAGGTCCAGCGTCAAGGCCTCAGCCAGAAGGAGAAATCTTGATGCAGCCTGCTTCTCGAAAGCAGATCAACGGCACCATGATCCCAGGAATGCTAAGAATGATTCCACCTCACCAAGAGCATCACGTTGCCATCCTGGCCCATGGCCTTTGAACTGCCTGGTGAGCTCTTCAAGATTTCCAGCAAGCCCTACTTGCCATGAATAGCACAACAAAGCAAGTTGTTGGCTCATCTGTCTACTGTCAGACAATCTGAGTTCAGATCCCACGATCCAAAGCTTCGACAACCTTCTCGGCAGGAACGATGATACCCTTGGTACGTACTGGATTGCAGCAGCTGTTGTTTCAACTATTTCAACAAGTCTCAGCAAAATTGGCAGGCAGTTTTGCATTTGTCAGAGGTAGCTATCGTATAGAGTGAAACTCGGTGCGAAATGTGGAAGATCACGTTGCGTGCAAGTAGAAACCTAGCAACTCCAGATGAAGTGGCCCCACTGACCACCTCAGATCTAGGCAATTTGCATGCATGCTCAGAAACCTGACTTCACCGACCGCAGCAACTGAGCACCTTATCAAAATCATGTTGCCTTCCAGATTTGCAGTATCCTGGATCCTGCCAGAACTGGCGGAAGATTTCTAAGGTCGCTGATTACCTTGGCTGGGTACTAAGTCATCCTGAGGGAAGATACATTCAATGTACATGTTTCCACTAATGTCACAGTCCGTTTGTTGCACCACCTACAAAGCATCCAAAAAAGCAAATCGTTTTGTCGAGCAGCGGACCAATCAGGGCAGAGACTGGTTCCTGCACTGAATACACACTCCAGCCTTGCATGATGGAAGCCAGCCAATATCGTCCTCAACCCGCTCTCGTGCTTGTGCACGCCTGGACATCCAACTTGAGATGCCACCTTTGCTGGCTTCATTTCAAAGCAGCGTCACTTCTCCATCGTCACATCTCCAACAGCCGCAAGACCATCTTGCAATCAAGGTGCAGCAGCAAGTAGCCTCTCCTGAGCCCAAGCAGACAGCACAAATGGTGCACAGGATTTGTGGCCCAGGAACCCGGAGGAGCGGTCGATCGATGTGGGGCCTCGCACTGTTCGGCAACATGACGTGAAAGAAAGTCGACATTCACTCCAGCTGGGCTCCTTGTCCGTGACCGGTGGCAGAATGTCCTGCACTGAATCCTCAGAAGTGCAGAATATGTTATGGTACCATAGCCGACTGAAAGGATCCACTGCTTCCTTGTCCGATATTTGCGGGGAAATCGGGGGTGCCCAACACAAGCAGGCGATCGCTGCACCAACCAGCATGATCACGCCTGAGCTTCAGAAGTGAGATGTGAGGTGTCAAAGAAGTGAACACTTGCGAATACTTGCGACGTGCCTGAGACCTCGCCCGGCGAGACTTCCGGATGACTCACCAGGGTGCGGTAGAGCTGCACGAACGCGTTGCTGCTCGGCTCATCCTGCTGTAAGGGCGTTTGCCGCAAATACTCGTTCTTTCTCCGCAGTGGGTGCAAGTTCTGCTCTGCCAGCGAAGTGCTGTCCACATCAGGTTTCGTTAGGACATGTTTGTATGCAGCCAATCCGGCGAGGCAAGTGAGACGACCTGACCACCTGAAGTGATGTTCAGGTTCTCACCGGTGCCCTGTGACTGCGCCCTTCCCTGCCTATGAACATTTGCACGAATGATTTGAGATCTAGGCAGGGGGTCCTGTGAAGGCCTCTTCGCAGGCCAGGCATGTATGGTCTCATTCGCTGGCTTCCTTATCCAGACGATTCTACAGCCCCACCAGATTTTCCCCAAAGATCAAATCTTAGTGCATACCTGCCAGCAAGGATCTGAGCTCGCACCACCTCTGCTGGCCCAACTTGCAGTAGGGAGACTCCGCCAAAAGGCTCAACCTGATGGAACATCAAATTCTGGAGTCCAACCAACTCCACAGTAAGTGCTTCGATCCTCGAAAGCGCTCGGGTTGCTACACCAGCTCATCCATGTCCATTCAGCCTGTCTGACGGTCCGCGCTGTAAAGCTTGGCTAAACGTGACTGCAGTCTTGGACCTTCGTGCTTTGAATCAGCAGGAGCGCGACAAATCCACCGATTAGCATTGGCTGCGACACGCAGCGCAATCCGCATCTGAGCAATTAGTTCGGTACCAAATGAAAACTTATCCTCGAGCCAAAAGTTCACCGTGAAACAGGCGTGCTAGGCGGCTACGCTTGGCTAAGCGGATCAGTTCCCATGTTTTGTTCTTGCTGGGTCCCAAGCCTGCACCCATCCAGTTGGTCTCAGCCTTTCAAAGTGATCAAAGTCTGCCAAGATAGAGCCGGATGGCAGGATGGCAAGATGGTAGGCCACGAGCTTGCCGCAGCTCTTGACCCACTCATCCCAATCCATTGCCTGCTGGTTTCTGGTGGTTGTCTCACTCTTTGCTCATCATCACACATAAACTGAGAGGCATGCCGCTTCGCAGGTTGCCAGGAGTGCGTTGCAGGAAGAAACACCGGCCTTGCGGCAGTCCTGGCCGGTCAAGGCCCCCAAGGTCAGGCAAGGAGGTTTCGACACGTTTCGACGCAGTTGGCAGGCTATGCAGGCTGCCTTCCAGAAGTCAAGAGCGTGCTCGCAGTTGCCGTGCTTCAAGCACTTAAGGAGAACCAGGTTGTAGAACTGCCAGCTTCACATCTGCAATGATCTGCAAGATGCAGCAATGGGTTGCCTGTGTCACCAGTTTCGCTCTTTCTGCCGAAGCTTGCAGCTGGGTCCGTCTACCGGAAGCTCCGCCCGACGAGTGACTAGTCTGGCTAGGCTCATGCACGGAGAACTCGGTAATTTGGCCTCAGCCACGCAAAGATATGCAAAGCGTGAACGGTTCAGCATCAGCTAGTGAGTGGGTGCGACTGGGTCATGCATGTCATGCAGAATGATACCTGAGACATTGCAGGGTACTTCCATGATTCGGCCCGTTTTCGTCATTGCTCCCTCCACTTGGAGTTTAAACACCAGAACGCCCCGCGAAAGCGTCATTTGCCCTGCGAGAAGGGGGAAGCAGTGCACAAAGGGGATTGCATCAAAACAATTTCCAGCTATGCTCGCACCTTCACAAGCAGCACGCAAGTCCAGCAGCAAGCAATGCGATTAGAAAGCACGCTGGCGGTCCAGCAGCCGGCAAAAAGTGTACTGGCACCCAGTGGCACCGTTGAAAATGCGCAAGCAGCCCGTCACCGGAGGCGGACAGCACTCCGGCGATCCAGCGGCCCCTGTGACCCTGCGGGTTGGTCCGCAGATGGCACACCAGAAGTCACACGCAGTCAAAGCGTGTGAGACCGCCCTGTGGCCCCACAGACGCAGTTCGGGGAGATGTGCAAAGCATTTCCAATTGGGCAGTTTGAAGCTGCATCCTAGTCAGACAATCTCCTGCCAAATGCCAAGAAAAGGACCTGGAATCAGAGGCTGTGCGTCGAGCAACCTCACGGCTTGCGCCTTAGCAGTTGCAGCACAACGACATCGCGGGTACGAAGAAAATTGGCTGAGCTTGTGACTGCTGACATCGCGCAAATGCCTGCCAGGCCCGACCCCACGCTGCCGCAGGCCCGGAGGTCGTGGTGGCCTCTCGCTGACCTGGCTCCAACTGAGTGGATCAAACTTTCAGCAACTTCCTCAGCCCTAGGCATACCTCCTGATGATTCCACGGACGGCGCTCGTAAGGCTGCCTGCACACAGGACCTTATGAACCGGTGGTCCCGGCGAACAGTGCACCCACTCTGCATCCAACGACATATTCTCAGTCAATTCTGCTATTGTGGTGACCCCAGAAAACAAACGAAAACCACTCATTTGCACGTTCCCTTTTCAGCGTCAACCCCATGTGTCAGATGCCAACCTAGCATCCACTTACATTGATAAGAGATTAGGCCAGGCGGCGCAAGGAATTGAAAACGACAAAGGAGGCAGGCAATGTTCCAGTTGACTGAGGCCACGACACTGATGAACCTGAAGAAGACACAGAATGGGTTCTTGTCAACACGTCCATCACGGAGAGGATACTGTAAGGACATAGTGGGAGTACGAACAGCTGCCTTTTCGGGCTTCACCTCTACTGTTCCCAATGCGCAAATGCCTGCCTCAAAGACATGGAAAGACTCAAAGGACATCAGGCAGCAGCGGTGGAAGACCTGCAAAGCAGTAGCCGGGAAGTCACTCCCAAGTCCCAAGTGCGGGACATTGTGCATTGAGGCCGAGGCATGTGAGCAGGAAAGCAACTCCACTCTTTCACCTCAGGTTTAATGCGTGAGCACCTGAAACCCACTCGAAGGAGAAGCTGCCAGTGCTGAGCAGCTGGGTGCCATGCTTCCACGGCCCACAAGGTCGCACGCTTGGAAGCAGATAGGGCAGTCCACCTACGAGCGCGTACTGCCAGTGTTGCTCTGCTTTCACATGTTCTTCCCAAAATCGGGCTGCTTCGCAAACAAAGACTCCCACCTCTTCTCCTCTGCCTTAGACCAAAAATTCGTGGATTTCCCGTGTGGAGTTGCTTTCCATCTAGACTCTTTGACTCAGGCAGCAGGCTCAGTGCAGCCTGGCGTGCTCTGGCCCAGCGTTGTCTGCCTGGCAGGTTCCCTCCTCCCGTGACTCTAAAACGTTGTTATCTCCGTGGATGAACACTTGATCATTCGGTTTGTGCCTTCTGCTTGACTATCAGGACTGGATGCTGGAACATCCTGCCAGGATGCTATTTGGTAAGATGAAAGTCAAGGAGTTCCAGTAGTTTGGTCGTTCCATGTGTCCTGCTGGACTGCCTGACTCTCGTCAGAGACATGTGTTTGAGGACCTTGCAGGGGGTGACCGGGTGACCTTGCTGGAGCAGCTTGGAAAGCATCTTGCGGCCTGCGGTTTGGGCAGGCCCGAAGTGAAGCTGCTCAAAGTCCCGCAAACCATCACCTGGAGCAGGAGCTGAAAAAACGCTTGAAGGGAAAAAGGCCAATCCTTGGTTCATAGCGGATCTGCGCGGAAGAAGTTGCCACACTGCCATCCAGCTCCTGCTGCCCAATTCCAACGTGAGGCTGACAGGTTATAGTATGTGAAGCCACACATGCAGCGGTGTTTACGACGGCCAGTGCGGTGACGTGCCAGACTGCTGGCTTTGACTGTTGTCAGCACAAGACTTGCACAGAGCATGCGCCTGGAGAAATCGATCAAGTGCATCTTCACGCTCCTCACAGTGCTGCGTGTTTGTTGTTTTGAGGGATGATGCCGTGAAAAGAAAAAGTGAGTATGACCGCTGCAGTAGGATCCACCTTGTACTATTCCAGATGTCCCAGATCTACGCGTGCGCTCCAAGACTTGTGCACGGCTCCTCGCAGACCTTCTCAAGCTTACCTCCCAATGCCTGCACGAGCCAATTTCAACAGGCATCAGCGAGAGAAGGATGTCCAAGAAGCAGCTCGTCTTCCGTTTCACCATCAGACACCAGCCAAAGACGCTCAACAAAGATGAACGAAAAACGCGGTGAGCGTCTGCTGCATTGCTTGACTTCGTAAATGACTTCGCACGTGTGATGTTCGATCACACTCAATGCCGGCCTGCAATGCTTTCCCACAGAAGCGTCTGTGCCTGAAGCTGTGTGAGGCCAGTGCTAGCTGCTAGCAGCTGCTAGCAGCATCCAAACTTCGAGGTTGGGACAGGGTCGGGGCTTCTGCCCGAATCTCCGGCTGTCGCAACTGAAGAAAGAGCCTGGTCAAGCAGCACTCGCTTCAAGCATGATCAATAGATGAAGCGAGGCTTCTGCTGGTCCCGACTGCGGTAGCCCCGCCATGCCCGTTGGATCCTGCTCGCGCACTTCTTTCGCCAAACCTTAAAATCTTGGCCCGTAACAGCCACAAGACGTCGCAGACTGAGACAGCGGCCATGAGTCCGGAGTGGTGAATAGTTGCATCAAAGTATGGGCACCTGCCTTTGTGCAGGAAACCGTAACAAGGCATAACATTAAAGCATGCAAAACTGAGTTTGCTGCACAACGGGCAGTAGCGGCTTCCAGAGAAACGCTCGAAGCTGCGCAAACACCTTGATCGCTCGCAGGTCATCGCAAGACCTCCAAAATCTCACAAGCCCCCCGAGACCTTGACTCGCCATGGAAAACGTGACTGCAACCTCCATCGTGAATCGTGAGGCATGCAGGTGAACTTCTGGTGAGACAGAAGATTAGTTTTCCAAGGAACTGGCTAAGGATCACCTGGGGCCTGGTTCGAAAATCATCCAGGCCTCTTTGCTAGCTCTGTCTCAATGTCTGGCTGCTTCATGCTAACAGCATCTAACAGCTGTTTGAATCAAGTTGTTACTGGTAACAAAGCTTTTCAGTACTTGGCACACAAGAAGTTTGCATGAGATGCCGACAGATGCTACAGGGAACTTCGCTATCTTGGCGGGAGTCAGAGGCATGCTTCACCTTCTCCCACTGCCTTTGCTAAAGAGCCACAGCTGCTAGAATCACACAGCAGTGAGACAAAACAGCAGCAACTGGCATTACCAGCAAACACGAGATTGCATGTTGTGGGGAAATTCAAAGTCTAGGATGCCGAGCCCGCTGCTCAGCTGTCAAAGGCTGCGAGGGCTTCGCCACTAAACCAAGGCGCTGCGCTAGGGTGAGCGAGGCCTTTGCAACGTGAAATACACAATGATGTGCAGAATCTCCACTTTAACCGACCTCGTGTCGCTTGAGCTTCTCATCATAGTCAAGCTCTGCATGTCCTTCGCACGAGGATTCTTCGATCCGAGTCACAGGCTAGTGTCAGTCTTAGCACCCTACGAAATCCAGGGCATGGCGCGCTCCTTTCCCAAAGCCACAACTTCCTCGAGCTGTGCTGCAAATTCGCAGGCCTGGAAGGCTGTGCTGCGCCGAATTGCGGGCTGTCCTGCGCCACTAGAATATGCTGGCACATCTGGTCCGCTTTTTCATTATTTTCATTCTGCGCACATGCCATCCACACTCCTGGCGTCGCCGAGCGGAAGCGCTTCGAGCTTGCGGACGAGAGTCTTTGCCGAGCAAATGTGCCTGGCGCACACAAGCAGTCATGACATCAATGCTTCTTTCAGAGTGGCCTGGAGGGCCACAGCGCGCCATACTTCTCCCCGAGCACCTGAGGTCACCACACCTGTGCCGAGTCGTAAGCATCAAGCCACTACGATCATCAGACTGCAGAGAGTCGGATGCCTGGTGCTGTGCCAGGTGAGGCACTGCGATGCCGACGCATGCGCCTGTGGTCTTTGCACAGATCGTGGGCCACCTTGCAGATCCAAATGCCAGAAACCGTTGAACAAATGTGCCGCAACAATTGGGGGGGCACAAAGGTATCCAGACTATTTGCACTCAGCAACATGCCAAGTCGCTGCTGAAGCCTGGATGATGTGGCATCATCAACAGCTGGGACATGCTAGCTTTGGCATGTGTCTGTGTTGCCGCTGCGGGCACATGTCTCGTTAGCACAATGTGATCTTGAAGACTTGGTTCCTGCCTGATCAAGCAAGAAATAAATTGCTCTGATGTCGAAAATGTTGTTTATGGTCCGATGCTATTTGGTGCATCTTTTTTGAGCCGGGTAAAGCGCCAGAAATGCTGGCGCGCGCCACAGCAAAGACTGGCACCAGTACTATTCAGTCAATGGGGCTGCCTGGCGCTGGTCAAAGTTCTCCGCGCTAGGAAATCTCAGCATGCAAGAGCGGCACGATTGTTGCGCACAAAATCTCTGCTGACAATCTTCATTAGCACCTGCTGCAGCTCTCGGCAAGCAGGTACTCGACCCAATTCCACTGCTCTGCCTTTGCAAGGTGGCTCGCCCTTCCATGACTGTCCTTGACTTACAAAACTTATACATTGTAGGGAGTCGACCTCAGCACAAAGACCTATGAGGTATGTGTAGGTGGTGAAGTAAGGATCCACACCTTCTGGCATGTGCGAGCGGTCAAGCCATCTTTCGAGCAAAGTGTCAAAAAAAACTTGCCTAGTTTGTCCAAGGTGTTCTTCCACTGCAAGGCAAAAACCTAGGCACCACAAGCGCCAGTTCACGGATCAGCCGCGCACGGCAAGCCCACGTAAGGCAGATGCCCAGTTTGTTGTTGTGATGCAGGCCTTTATCCTCACGACATGCAGCAACTTCTTGCACTTCACCGCCACCAAAACTTGGGTGCACACACTGTAGTCAGCGTGACATAGTTGGGCCTCACAAATGCGCAAACTTAGCGTCCAACGCAAAAGTGTCGTGACCAAGCCCTTTGCTCTTCGCCCCTTTGCTGCATCATGTCCAACAGCCTGAGTTGATACAGTGCACAAAATTCGCTTGTGGCCCCATGCTTGACACGCAGACCCCATCCCTGTGGCCGAGGAAGGATCGTCAGGCAATTCTCCCACATGCCGCCATGAACATGAGCGGACATCAGGGCTGTGAAGCTCACGTCGCTGAAGGCAATGCCAACCTGACAAAGGGGGCAGGCATTGCACGTGGTCATTCAGTCAACGTCGGAAGGTCAACATGCCGAGGCGTCGTTTGTCATACTGGCGGCCAAGGACAGCGCCTTTCATGACTTCTGAGCTAGGAAAGACGTGGACCAGCACAGGGGCCGGACACGCTGCCACTGCGTAGCTTCTGCGCCTCAGCTCTGTGATGCATCTGCCACAATGCAGAAAAATGCGAAGGTTGGCAAAGCATCGCCCAAGGCATCCGACAGGCAGTCATGGCTGAGCTCCAGTGATACTCTGACGTGCCTCAAGCTGGGCTGGGCCGAACAAGCTCATGCCCACTGCAAATGCCGGGTGAAACTGGATATGCCAGGAGGCTTGCCGATGGCAGTCGCACTCTTCAACAGGCATAAGGCACTTTCCCAACCTCAGGCCCCGAACCGTTGCTTCACTGCTTCACGAATGAATCAGTGCCAACAAGAGCAAAAGCAGCTTAGGGCTCTACTAGATGCATCTGCGCATGCCGCGATGGCGTTGGTGTACAGCCTAGCGTCTGGCCTCATGCTTAGACGCGACGCTGAAACCTTGTGCAAAATCGAACGCAAATGCTTTGAGCCACACCGAAGATGCTGTGCAAGCCTCAGTAAAGAGGCACCGCGTTCACTACATGCTATCAAGAGAATTCATTGCAGAGGTAACCAAGCTTCAGACGCTTCACTGAGGGCCCCCAGCGCCCGCTCCCATTCATCTGCCTGGCACACCAAAGGCAAGCCCAGGAGACGGATCAAAACCCAGTTTGCTTTGCCAACCTGCCGGGCCGCGGCTATCAAGTGGCTGTAGGTGATGACGTCAGGCTGCAAGCGAAGGTACTTCATGTCCTGCACGCATACAGAGACTTGGCACCTTCCTGTAAGATCCTGTAAGAGCAATGAGTCAGCGAAGGATACGGTTATGCAGCATCACTCGTGCTAGCAAAGAAGGATCTCAGGTAAAATACCGTGCACAAAAACGGGGCTTCCGCCCGCGCGAGTGAAGTCCACGCAACGAGGCCTTGAAGAGTTGCTCGACTATTTGAGCATCCCGGTTCCTCAAAAGAATTGTTTGACAAAAGCATGTCGATTTGCTGGGGTGTAGCGCCACCTTTGCAGCTTGAGGACAGAACTGCAAGTGTCCAAAGCCGTGCGCAGTACGACCTCAAAGATGTACCCGGCGGATGAAAGCAGAGAAGCGACTGATACAAACATCTCAGTGGCGGACATGCACCCATCGCAGCATTCAGCACCCCGACATCCAAGCTCAATCTGTCCAACTTCATCTCAGAGAGCAGCCACCTCCATCAACTTGGCTTTTGCATAGCTCTGCGAAGTCTGAATCAAGGCCTACAATGTGCAAAGCTGGTTCGTCTGAAAAGCTTACAGAGAGAGGCAAGTTAGGGAGTTGTGAGCCCAAGCTGGGATCAGTCTAGCACCTCCCTAACCCTGCTCACGAGATGTTAGCTTTAGGGGACTCTGCCTGCCTAACTCAGGACTGAAAAACGCAGAAAGATCTCCCTCTACTCAACAAGAGACTGGCAAGCTCAGGCTCCCACAGCGACCAATCCCATAAGAATTGGTTGACATGGCACCTGGGCATGGGGCATGGCAATCAGACGTTCCGGCGGCTTTGGCTGCCTTGAGAGTTATCGCAGACGCGTTGCCGCTGTGTCATGATGAAAAGGCGTCAGTATGGTCACGGCGGCACTCACGACATGATGCGCTTCTGAATAAGCTATTATAGGCTGATACAAGGCAGCCGCTGCAAGGGAGGGGGGAGCAAGGTACCAACACCAGCCAACTGAGAAACAACTGAGCGAACAGTCGGATTCCTGTGCAAATCCACCCTAACACATCCAGGGGTATTCTTCTGGAGACTAACCGCAACTGGCACGCGCACGACTAACAACGTTAGATAGACACCAACACTGAGACAGAACCGAAAAGCGCGACAACTGGGACCAAAAAAATCAGAGATCTTCAATGCTGTCATTGAGGCCACTGCGCCGACATTGCTGATGTGTAGGACACTACATTCTGCCTTAGGAAGAGCAGGCACGAAATCGTCCAACAGCAGGAGTTCAGAAAATTGCAGCCAGACCTTACAGCTCTCTCCTTGAAGCTGTTGAGCAGGTGGATCGCAGATTCCTAAACAAAGATCAGACTCACCTAGCAGTGTACTTCATGTAGACTGCGCCGAGGCAGCTGCTGGATTGGAGCCGCCTGCGCATGCTCGGATGGCTTTGGCAGCGATCACCTAGGGCGCTGAGAAACCGACGCTGAGTCTTTGTAGCTTGCCAATGCTTACCACAACTTGCTGCCGCGACCTGCTAGCAGGTCCAAGGTGAAGCCGTGCCTCGTTGGGCTCCAGCTTGCCGGCTTCCATCTCACTCAGCAGGTGCAGAACCAGAGTCCAGTCACCCTCAAGTGGCATCAAATACGAAGCCTTGACTCAAAATTGAAACAGCGTTGAACACTTCAAGTCCTCGCTCCTCGCATGCGCCAATCGTTGCACCGTAGGTAAACTCATCTGCACCCGATGGCAGCTGCCTGGGTCCAACGCGATGCGTGAGTCTAGATGCTGCCTCAGGATGTAATTGGGACCTCGCCTTCCCTCTGTAAAAAGCTGGACTGCCTATCATGCCATTTACGCAAAACAAGGTGGGACGGTCTGCACCCAGTAGGCTGGAGCCTCTCTCCAGTTGCTACTGGAGGAGCAGACGGAAATGGCTGTGTTGAAGCTCACCTCCGTAAGGTGACTCAGTCAATGTCACGGACTGTGCATCCTTTGACGGCCCGAAACAATGACTTTCTCATCAACACATGTCAGATCTGATTCGTCAGGTCGTGGCAATGTCCGGATCCGTTTGCCACGATTTCATCTTGTCCAACATGTGAAGCGCCTGATGTATGACAATCACAATGCAAGAATGACTCACAATCCAGTCCAAGTTTTCAGGTCGAGAGAAGGACTGGTCGGGTGTAAGGTTTTAATTTCTTTTTGTTTGGGAGCTTTTTGGGTTGAGGGCTTGTAGGGTTTGGTTTCTCACGGGTTTAGAGTTTTATTTGTGAGGGTAGCTTCTGATTAGCTCCTTTCTGTTTTCGGGTGCAGGGTTTGGGATTAGGGGTATTGGCGGGGTACATCAACCCCTTTTGCAACTGCGAGCGTGGCGAACCTCCAAAGTCGTTTCCAACTACTGTGTTTGCCAGCTCTCCTCCTAGACTGGGTGTTACGGTCTTTGGCGATCAGAAGTCTTGTGGGACCCGTGACAGGGGACCTCTACATAGGTTGGTGATGGTTGGTGCGTGGTGGCACCAATCTTGAAGAGAGGAAAGCTGCTAAGATGACCAGTATCGAGGCGCCTCATCCCAGGACTCTTTGCCCAGGGCAGAGATGGCAGCATTGCCTCCCCAGCGTATGTAATCTTCGCATGCTTGCACACATGCAAGCAACAAACACTTTGACCATTGATGGCACCAGTAGGCTCGCGGCACGCTCGAACATCAGGGTAGATGTTCGCTTCTACCATACGATCCAGAAGATAACTGCACATCCTCAGCTCAGCAATAGTAGCAATCCAAGCTGGCCGCATACGTGGTTGAATTCAAATCAGAGCCCGACGTCCACTCCTCGAGCATGGATGAGGGAATTCACACACAGCAAGGATAAATTCTTCAGACACAGTTTGATCCCAAATTCATGCCCCCTGAGACTGATCATGAAGGTGATCTCCTTGGAGCGAGCACCAATGCTGACGAGCTTGTTGAAGAACATCTCGTCAGCCAAGACACCTTGCCAGCGTCCGTGCTAATCTTTCACGGCACTGTGAATGCGAGGCCACGGCGTCGAGATGTCATCTGTTCCAATCTGGAATCGCAGCAGCTGAGTGGAAGGCTTGAGACAATTACCCAGGCATTGAGGCACCAGCAGGTGGATAGCATCTCGCCATAACAGGTGACGGCCTCTGAGCCAAAGCGCTCCAAACGACGGCTCCAGAATGCTTGCAGTTCCGGGGTCATAGCCCAGATACGACAGCTTCGGCATGCATTGCCTTGGCAACATGGTATGGCAAGCTAATCCAAGCTCATGAGAACTCTCAACTGCTGCTATCACAAGACCCTGGCCAGGCTGCGACTTCAGAGCCATTCAACCTGCTGCAACAGTCCCAAGTTGCAGACTTTATTTTTTAGGGTCCAGCAGCTTGGTGCCAGGCAAACTCGTATTCTTCGTTCTCCAAGCCCCACGTGCCTCATCGTGGATATCTCTTTCAAAAAATCATTCGAGATCATTCAGTTCTGGGACGTCCAAACTGTCTGCACGTGACAGCCTTTGCCAACAGCCGCCCGCTGAGCCGTTGAGCATACTGAGCCTTGATTTCCAGCGTCCTAGCTCGATAACAGAGATGAAGCCTCTGAGGAAAGTGTTAAGGTTGCAGCAGACTGCCGCGGCGGTCTTCGCGTAGTTGCCGGGCTGCAGGCAGCACACATGGATGTCCTTGGCTGTTGCGGCACGTCCCTGTACTGAAGACAGTCCTGTAATTTCGTGAAGATTGGCCTCTACAAGTCACGAAAGAAGCTCTCTCTGGGAAGCCCTCGCCTGCTCCAGCCCAGGAGCTGTAAGGCAATCCGGCACCAGCACCTGAAACTTTGCGAACTCATCCTGAGCAAACCTCATCCTACAAGTTGATTCGAGCGCCAGACCAGAGTCCCCTGCCATCTTACTAGTAGCACCTGAATGTCCCTAACAATGGCTGATATTCAAGGGCAAAGATGGCTAAGAATCCTAAGATCTGGTTTGATGATAACAACCAACATGAATCAACAAATTCACCCAGATCCGCTTCTGCAATGCATCCGGTCAGAAAGCTCGCGCTGAAACGTGACGCTTGAACTGCTCACAATGGCTGCCAAGTTGGTCACGTCAGAAGTACTTTGCCACTACCATCTCAGCAAACAGCAACGAACAGCTACAAGTGGCATCTTCATGCATCTTCATCAGCAGCCACTCCCGGTCGCGGCGCATCTCTCTTAAGCTCGGGCTACTCGTGCACGGCGCTGCTGCCACGGGGTGCTCCGCTCAGATCAAGCAGGGCAGAGCTTCACCTGCCGGCCCGCTCCAGGTCACTCCTCTCCGCTGCGGTACTTCTCGAGCTTGTCGATCTTGCCTCACGACATTGGACAATTCGGACAAGAACAGCAGGAAACGGGGAGACCCTCAAGCGCAGGGCCAGTCTCAAGGTACTGATCAATCTTTTTGACTGATTCCTGCAACTATCACTTTTGTGCACAGGCGCACAAACGACCGCCGGTGCGCCTTTCCGACGCCCTTTAAGCTGGCCAGGGACTTCCCTGTTGTCACCTCTCGGCTTACACGTCACCTCTTTGGCTTTCAGGTCTAAAGCTCAATTTCCGGGCCTTCTCCAAGCCTCGCAGTGTTGCGGCCACCTGGCAGGCCAAGCATACTCCTCGAGTACTGTTGAAGCTCTATCCTGCAGCTTAGCTTGCCTTCTTGAAGGCAGCGCCCGCAAACTTGCTGGTGCCACCCTTCCTGGAGCAACATTTGTTCTAGCTAGAAACGCTTTGACATAGTGTACTTGCAGATCATGCATCCACGCAGTGCAGACTGAAAACCAAGTGCTAGGCAAGAAACAGTTGCAGCTATACTTGGGTGCGAACTTGAACTCAAAAGATGCCAGCTCGTCGAAGAGCGCTGCCAACTCCTCATTAGGTCCGGTCCTGAAAGGCCAGAGCTCCGCTGATGGGACAAATGACCCGACCCTGCCTGTCCAGCGTCTTTTTCTGGACCTTGGCTGCCTGAGCCCCAAGAACCATCATCGGGCTCTGATATTCTGGTTCGGCCTTCGCTGGCTGTTTCTCCAACGGAGAACCTGCACGCTTCTCCTGCTCACAACAACTGTGGATGCAACTACAATGTTTGCACTGCTGAGTGTGATCCTTCTGCTTCTCGGTGGTCTTTTCAGGCGTGGAAGTCGCAGCAGTGGCAATCGGCCTCATCTGGAAGAGGGCAGAGTTTTACGGGGAGCTTTACAGACCTAGCCATGTCGCAAGACTAAGACTTGGCACATGGGGTCCAAAACTCAGTAGTGTGGAGACAGTCCAATGTGCATGACGTGTCCGTAATGAAAGTCACAAGAAGGAACCTGGTCGAACCTGGTGCCTTGCGGCATGCGCGCTGTATCCCCTTCCAGAAGCCGGTGCATCCGGCAAACATTCTTCAAACATCGCTTGACTGTCGGACTTGAAACGTAGCGGTTAGAATGATGAGACCTGAAGTTGCCATGTAGAAGTGACAGCTCTTCGTGCAACCAGAGCTAACGAAACTCCGAGCTCTGAGCGGGGACTTGCCGAGGGCAACAGCCTCTTCAGGATGTCAATCCGAGGAAGTCACACAGGTGCCAACATCCTTGTAGCCGGGCCTTCCACATCTCTACAAGCTTCGAGCAGTTCTCACGCACCTAATACAATCACAAGAAACACGGAAGCATGTCCAGAGTTCAACGCCAGGCTGTGGCTTCCGGGTCCGCATGCTTTTTAAAGAACGGATCGTTTACCTCCTGAGCAGAAGCCCCTAAAGTATCACACACTAATCTCGTAAAAATTGCGATTTAGGAGTAGGGCCCAAGCCTTGCCGATGCCTGTGACTCGGAGTATCTCTGTATCCATACGCATCCCGGCGAGCTCTCTGAATATCGACAGTACCTGCTTTGGATCCTGGCAATGTCTTTCAACTGCACATAATCAGTACAGTAGCGCGACAAAACTTTCTTTGTGAGTATGTCCTGTTGCCCGGACACTGTGGACCGGTGTTCTTTTAGCCTTGATGCTACTTGGGCCCCCGTGCAACCAATGTCTGCCACTTTTCTGAGATCCGTTCCTGTCCCGGCATACTTCGAACTCCTGCAGGCTGCAGGGATGACGCGGCCTTCAACCTGCTAGTCGCTAAGATCTCCTTCAGGCTCGCCATGGGCTGAGAGAAACCATGCCAGCTTCGCACCTGCAAGAATTCACGCCAATCCTCCCTGCCTTCGCTTTGTATTGTGGCCTTCTTGGAGCAGGGCAAATGCCCAGCGGAGGCAGAAGCAAAATGAGTTTCCACTGTACAGATCAAAAGCACTGCTGGAAATCTGGGCGGTGTACAGCTGCAAGTGTGCTGAAATTGAATCCATGCATACTCAGTCACTTCAGCCTCCAAAGCCACCCGAGCAAAATGCAAGACTTGCCGTAGTCTGCTGCTTAGCTGGACCACATGTGCATAGTCCACCGAGAGGAAGAAAAACAACGTTGAGGAGCCGGAGCACAGAGCAAGCTAACAGGCAGAGAGCCACCTTCTTTTTGTGAATGAGCTTGTCTGGGACAAGCTTCATGTCACTCTATCAAGGCACCTGTGGCCTTGGCGCATTGAACCGGAGATACAGACCATGATTCTAGCAGGATTAACCATCATCCGTTGCCAAACATGCAGCAGATGATTCTTTCGACTGCTGCTGGAATGGAACGCTGGCACGAGCTTCAACGAAGCTCGAATACAAATGCCAGAGCAGTGTCAAGGGGTCGCTTCATGAGACTCCCAAACTAACTCTAGATCTTCAGCGGATGGGCAACTTCTTCCAGTCAGGTGCGTCTGACACTGCGGTTGTATGCCTGGTTCACCAACCGAGGAGGCGGGGTTGTCAGATTTGACATCACCTGACACTGACCCGATTTCTCCCAACGTCTGCTCTTCGCACCCGGTGCCTCCAGATCTCCGCCCTTCCGCACCTGTCAGCAAATGCCCGCTGTTGCAAAAGGCAAAAGCAACGGCGCACTCCACATGCCCTTGACCCTAAGCTGAGTAGCCTTTTGCTGCAGCTGTGAATGCGAAAACATCTGTTTCCAGCATGACTACTGAGGGACATCGTTGACGTCGGCCTGCGTGTCTTACTTCAACGAGGGACCAGAGCCCAAAGAACATAAAACCCTGTGGAAAGAAACCTGCGGAAGAAGCAATGTTTGCAGAGCAATGCGTCACTTCAAGTGCCTAACCTATTCGACAACATCTCTGATCGACGTCATCACAAACGCTGTCCAAACTGGAGCGCGCAAGAAGAGAGCCCGGATTGCGAAGACGCGGGGAGGCACTGGCACTCATTGATACAGAAGCTGTTTCAACCGCAGATGACTGGAAGCGGCAGTAGAACAAAGCCGCCGTGCCTTGGCTGCCCTCGATGAACGAGCTTCACAAGAACAAGGAGATTTGAACGAAGGTTGTGTTCCAGAGGCAGTCGCCAAGGCTAGCTTCCGAGAAGACTCTTTTGACTGGCTACCTCTCCAAAGGCTTGTGCCCACATCCGAAGAGTCTGCGACTGGTCCTGACTACTTGATGCGCATAACTTTTTCAGGCAGTTCTTGTTTGTTTGTCTGCTACCATCTTAGGTGTGGAATGCCCCATCAAGTATGTATGCGAATCTCATGTCAGATGCATGTGCAAGGTGCAGTCGTGTAGTCAATTGCTGCATGCAATTCGACAAGGCTGTGGCCAACTTCTTGTACAGAAAGCCCCAGAGTCTTCTCTGAATCTGTATGGAAGGTATGCAGGTTAAGATACTCCGCAGCCTCAATGCAACCGCATGCGCAAAAACCACAAGGCTGTAGGTCCCTTGTCGCCAGTACGGGCGTCATGTTGCTCAAAGTGGAAACGTGACGTTCTTCAGGTTTGGCATGTTGTACAGGCCGTTGCAATAATGATTCACTTGAAGATGCGCCAACACGCCCCACCAGCCGCCTGGCGCTTTTCCGGCCGACTCCCCGTAGTTGAACACAGTGGCAATCTCCTGCGATGAAAGTGGCCCGTCTCCATGTAGTTTTGCTGGTTGGCAGTACTCTGCGACGAAAGCCAAGAATTCGTTTTCTGCAAAGCGTTGAGGTAGATGATGCCCGCCAAAAGACCTGGACTCACTCTGCAGTGACCAGAGGCCAGAGTGCCACTTAAGGTGGTATGATGATGCATATTCCCGCAGAGGGTTTAAGATAGGCAACTCCCCGCGCCTTTTGAAGGGCATGAGGCTAAATGCCTTGTCACCAAGCTTTCTCCGCAATATCTTGTACCATCGTTTCGCGCTGCGCAAACACTCCTGCAAACTGTCACCCTTTAATCCGCCTTCCAACTCTCTGCTGGAACGCGGAAATCGCGCCTGATTCGGGCGGTCGCAACCTGTGAAACATGGACAAGTCATATCGCATGGGGCAAAGAGCTGGTCAATGCCATAAGCGAAGTGATGTGAACTTGGGGTCCGAATGTAGCCTTTGTATGCCACGATTTTGCGAACATCGGAGTGTCTCCAGTTAGCGGTGACACTGCAAAGGACAGGAAACTGATCCATTATGCTGTCTGCCACCGAGCTGGGCCGAACTTCCCGCAGCCTTGCATCTGGTGCAAGTCTGTCTATGAGGAAGCCGTTGACAACATTGAAGCCTCCTTCATTCAGGCCATTAAAGTAAGCATGTGCGTCAAAGGTATGGTTCCAGGAGAAGCCTACATGCCTGGGGAAAACATGGAACTCATCCACATCAGCCTTGATGATCCAATCCTCGTCGCGCGTGTGTTCATGAAGCAGGGACCATCCCTGAAACTCAAGATCTTGATTGCTTGTACTCTTGCCTGTGAATACAAGCTTCACACTGCGAATGCCAAAATCCCTACGCAACGAGTCCGCAAACCGCTTCCCAGCCAACCTGCCATGCTGTTGATTAATTTGCATTAGTCCGAGAAAGTTCGATGCCGGTATGCTCATCCCGAGATAGTGAAGAAGAAAAGAAGTAAGCAAGGCCATTTGTGAGCTTGCCTTGTTGTGGTACAGCATGGGGCTGAAGTAGAAGTGAAAATACAGCCACAAGCAACTGCCGTCTGCCAAGCGAGAAGATCCACCACAACGCATGTCAGCTCCGTACACAACACTGCAGCTGCATGCAACGGCCAAGCGCGAAATCCATCCATTTGCCATGCATTGGCCAAGAAAAAAAAGTCACAGGAAGGCTATTGCTGGTCCAACCCTTTCTGTGTCCCTCAGACTTCTACTCCATCTACAATGACAGGGCAGTCCCTTTGGAGCCAGCAGCACCAACTGCAAGTGAAGATCTGTAGTTGAAGTAGCTGCACAGAGCTCCCACGCAAGCCTTGTCTGTTGCCGCGCATGTGTAGCACACGAAGCAGGACCGACTGACCTGCTCAGACAAATTGATGCTGGAGACAAGTAGGAAGATGCGTGACTTCGGGAGCCGAGCAACTTTCGGTTCTTAAGACGTGTGCATTGCAAGAAGCGATTGCAAGATTATGCCCTTCGCTGTCTCGGCTTGCAGTTGCTTCTTGCAAGATGCGAAGACTCTAAGCTTTTGCAGCAAGTCGCCGACCAGCAACGTGAACCGTTCTTTTATGATCTGCTGGTCAATGTTCCCCATGGAGCCCTCACCTCGAACATGCACCTTTTTAAGAAAGAAGACAGCTGAATTCAAGGGATTCGACGCACAACATGCGACGAGGTACAAAACACAGGTTTGGCGTGAGAATGACTAGCATGTTGATTTTTCCGGCTTCCTTTCGAAGCCTGCTTTCTCGCCCAGCCTTTCACTTAGATGATCTAGATGCGCCCTGGTCATCCAGCCCAAGCAACATGACATCTGATGATATCAAGTGCATCACGCCCGTCTGTACTGTTGGCTGTGACATGGCACTTGCAACACCAAACAAAATCGCCTCCCTGTGCCCAACATTTCGCTTGCAGCCCACTTTATCAACACCCTGCAAATGAATAGAAAGCTGCTCTCCTTTCCCGACAATCAAGCTCAAGACACTAAATGCTGAACTATGATAAGAATTGCTTCAAACTCGCTCAAGGCTACAACATTGCTCAGTACTGCTCTTGGTTTCAGTGCAGTCTACAAGTGATGTTCAAGGCTACTTTTGCGCCCTTGCGCTAAATCACCCGATGAGCTGTCCCTGCAGGAGCACGGCAGTTGAGGCGGACCCCTGCAGCATTCAAAGTAAGAGGAGGAGAGGCTGGTCTCAGAAAAGACAAACCAGTGGAAAACGCCATTCGGAGTCTGCTAACCAGCACCCAAAGGCCTGTTGGAACTTGATTACCAGATACTCACCAGAACTAGCTACCACCATGCAGACCTCTGGGCGAGGACTATGAAATTCTTGGGTGCAGCTCATCAATAGGGCGAAAGACCATTACTAAACAACTACATTTTATGCACGCATGCCGCTGCATTGTGCATTGTGCAACATCAAAGCCCAACTCCAGTTCGTAGCGCGCCTTGGGAATCTGTGGCATGTTCTTTGCAGCCAGAGCACTTTCTTAGTCCGGAATGAGCAATTCGAGTCAGAAAGTGCAGCTCGGAGCAGGAAGGACACAACCAGAAGAATCGACATGAGGCAAGGACGCCAGGGGTCGCTTGGTTTTGTTTTGACCTTGTTCGCAGACCCCGTTGCACGTGACCACTCGTCGAAGGCCGCCGTCGATTGCAGTCTGGGCGAAGCGGAGCCCGTGTCCTTAGAGCAGTATATGGAAGAGCTAAATGTAAAGCACTTTCCGCACCTGAGCTGCCAAACCCTGGCAGCGCAGGCGGCAAGAAAATTCCAAGAACATCACAAACTGAGCTTCCAGCATCGCAACATAAGGCACCACCCATGGCGTCAAAAGACGGAGGGATGGAAAACGTGTTGATTCTAAAATGGCCGCCAACCCGGGCAGTTTGAGACATAATGCCCTCTCAGGTTCTCATAGGCTCCGCAACAGGCAGCTGTTCCCAGCATAAGAGTCGTGCAAGCAGCACATCCTAATCAGATGCTTTTTGAAGCTCCACTGCTGGTTCGACCGTTGACACCATGAAAACTCACCGGACACCGGAACACCACCTTCCCGGGCAGCTTTCAAGCAGCAGCAAGCAGTCAAGGCTGCATGAGTTAGCTCAAACAGTCTGCTGCTTCCACACGGCCTGGTTCTGCAATGCCATGAACCAGCTACTGCAGAGCTTCTGGTGCTGGCCTTACTTGTTCTTACCAGGACAAACTAACAAGGACAACAATCAAGCCCTGCAACGCTTCTACACAAGAAGAGTTGCAGACAGATTTCCTCAGCTTTTTGCAGACTTTGAGCTTGTGTCAAACACCACCGCAAATCCCGTGCAAGCAAAGAGCCCCTCTTAGCTGGACTGCTGCTGACATCTTGAATCAATGACAAAGGAATTTCTCGCACACACATTGCCAGCTTCTCAAAGAGCAGCGATCCGACAGCTCACAGACAATGTGAGCCAATCATTAGCTGGGTGCCCTCTGTATGCTTACTCTTGCAAAGGCACGATATTCCATTCCTTCAGAGTCTCCTTACATGTTCATAGCCAGGCAAGGAATGGAATGGTCCTCATGTTCACAAGACCCTATTCAAGTGCAGTGCCCAGGCCTCCGATCAAGCTACCCACAAAGCGGCACTTGACAAGTCATGCCTTCAGCTGATCTTGGTGGCCTGTCGACCTTTGTACAAGGAGCGCTTGCCGCATCACTTTTGGTGCGGCTGCTACACTCCCACGTGGGTTTTCTGCATGGCAGCCTAGCACTTGCGAGGCGTTGTGATGTCAAAAACTACTTTGGCAGTGTGTTCGCGTTACAAAAATTACCGCTTCGAGCGCTTGCCCTTGCGAGCTTTCTGTCGCGAATTTGTTTTTTTGACACGGTGATCAGATTTGGTTCTGTCTCTTACCTTGTCAGCATCTGTAGACTTTGAAACCCTAGAGACGGTTGCTCTGCTGGGCCGTCTACGCTTCTTTTTTGGTGCAGGAGCTTCATCTAAGTCTCCAACCCAGGTTACTGTACCCACGCCTTTGACCGCGTTCTCGCGGAAGACAAGGGCGCAGCCTGGCTCCACGATTTCTGGCCAGTGCGCCCAGCGGAACAGGACTTCTGCTGAATCTCCGGCCCTAAGCATAGAAACTGGCTTGCCTTCAGAATTACTCATGGCAACAATTCGCGCCGTCTGGCGCGTCATGCCAATGTGCAGCACGGGCTCATAAGACACGCGAATGGAGCTGGGGTGCTGAAGCACTGTGACACTGGCTTTGATATAGCGCGACGGAGTCAATGTAGATCTGGTGCCAACCAAGTGCTTCGATCTGCTGAGCACTCGCGGTGTGAGGGCGTCGCGTGTCTTGCCGGAGGCTTTGAGTGCAAATGTTCCGCTAGAACCAGCTCGAAGCTGTTCCACAGGGTGATCCTGCACTCGAATCGAAGCTAACCTCAAGTTGATGAAGCCATCCTTGACTAAGTCGCCTGCTGAGTCAACCACAGGACCAAGTCGCACCGCATCATTTGGCCTGGCAGTTCCGTGTAGCACTCTGCCTGAGATGACAAGTCCAACTCCGGGAACTTGAGGAAAGATTTCATCGATCTGAATCTGCAAGGCTTCCGTACCAAGCGCTGGCACACTGGAGGGAGAAATCTTTGTTGCCGGTCGTCGTGAGAGCACGTTCAACAGTAGCTTAAGCTCTGGAATCATGGTGCCAGTCACTGCAGAGCACAAAAAAATTGGTGTGAATCCCTGAAGAATTCTTTCAGCTGCAAGCACAACATCGTTAGAGTCCTTGACTACGAAGGTTGGCGTACCCATCTGCTTCATGAACTTTTTCACATCCTCAAGGGCAGATTTTCTCTGCTGATCAGCGGCTACATCACATTTTGTGAGGCAAATCACTGTTGGAATCGCAAGAGCATTTGCCACCACAAGATGCTCGTGGACCATCCCTCGCAGCTCCCCACGGTTTGCATCGACTGTGCATAGCAAATAATCAGGCGCCAGGCCGACCATGCCCTGCAAGGTGGTCTTGAAGTAGCGCTCGTGCCCGCAGAGGTCGAAAAATGTGATGAGCTTGGATGCCTTTTCTGCAACTCGTGCTTGCGCCTCGGCCCGCCCAGCATTGTGCTGGGGTTCTTCACTGCGGAAGAGTCCGTTGCCATCCTCCTTGTAATTAACGACTCGGCCAGTCTGGTCGAAACCCAACGTCAATGTGGAAACACAAGAAGTCCGCCCAGTCTCAAGCTCGTGGCGGTGTCGGAAAACAGACGAGCGAGAACGCCCTCGCCCATCGTCTTGCATGCCCTGGGTCAGAAGGCCCAGCAGTGTGGACTTGCCAGAATCCACATTTCCGACCGTGCAAATCCTCACCTCCTCACCCTGCCCAAGAAGCGAGAGAGCTGGTGCCTGAGCTCGAACTAAGGCAGTGACTGACGTCCTGTTACCGGGCGCGATGCCAATCTTTCTGCTCAGGACGGTCACCGTGGCCGGGATTCGTGCCGCCATGGCGTGTAGCACAGACATGGACTCTGCCAACTCGGCATCACTGAGGCCCAAGACTGCACCATCATCAGCAACACCGATCCGGTACACTGCATCTCTGTATTGAGCGAGGTCTGCAACCTCCTGACACTCCTCTTCCGAGGTACATTCTCGCATTCTCCAGTTTAGTTGGGTCACTAGTTCTTCGAATCTTTCCGTCCCTTCTTGGGCTTTCAATTTAAGTTTGTACTCCACCTTGCCAAAAGGTGACTCTGGCGTCAGAGAAAGCATGCTGCTGTCTGGAACAAGGCTTGTCCTCTCAGCCATCTGGTGACGAGGCACTCGAGAAAATCTAAGGCGCGTGGGGGAAGACTTGGAAGACAAGGCGCCATTGACCATGCAAATGAGAGGATCAGCAATTTGGCGGATCAACAGCAGCCCTGCCAGAAGAATCCATAATCGGGAGCTTCGCACGGGACTCGTCCTCCTAAAAGTCTCAGGGGGCACGCCTGTAGACATGGCAGCCAAGTTCTGGAACTACTAAACTTGGGCCGAGGCGGATCGAGAACCCAAAATGCACAGAAAAGCAACATCCTTGCAGCGGATGTGCAATGCATGAGGCTTCCGCAAGAGCAGCGGCCAAAAAGGCAACCAGGTCTTTCTAGCCAAAGAGGTTGAAGCGGTTCATGCTCCTCCACTTGCGACGATGCAATGCAAACCGCGGCTTGCAGAAAGTGATGGCAGCAGCAACAGCAGCACGACGAATATCTTGGTGCCGATGGAATTGGACTGTGGACAGGCCTCTGTTGCATCTCCCTTGCACTCTATGAGTATGAGTCATGAGTATGAGGTATGGCCGCTGGTCTCAAGAAAAGAAACATCACCAGTCTCGAGCCGAAGCTCGCAGCCCTTGAATCTCTCAAGCCCGCGCCAGAAAGCTTCTAACCTGGAGCAGCAGATGCCCGCAGCGTTGAACGAACCTGCAACTTAAACCCTGGCCCTTCCAGCCTGCGAACCCCCCAACCTCAAGTGGAGAATCACCAAAACCTGCACACTGTACTTCAGACCCTGACTTTAAAAGGCCCCCAGCTCAAAAACCCTAAATTCTTTAGCAGGCAACTCTGATGCATTCTTGGCCCTGAGTTGGGAGGAAGAATCTGTGCCAGCGTTCAATGTGCTACGTGGCGTGGTCGCTAGCTGGTGTAGTGTGACAGCGCAACCATCACGGATGTCACTTGCCCCAATTCAATTTGCGTTTACAATACAGTACTTGCACCTCATACCAGGCCATATCCAATTGCTGTGGCAAGCGCCAGCCCCATTTGAGTCTGAAGATTGCAATGCAGCTTTTTTGTTCCAAAGCAACACCTTTGAACCGCTGGCGTTTTATTGACATGCGTCCGGCCTTCAAAGACATTTGGGAGGCTAAGGCTAAGGCGTCTGGATGGCAATCGAAGGCAATCTGCTAAGACTTTCGCGGATTTGCCGGAACTGAGGAGTGGACCTCTGCTTCTTGGCGCAGGATCGTTTGAGCACCGGGCCCCAGAACTGGGGGAATAGCTCTTGGAAAAGGTCTTCTCGCCTGGACTCAAGCTCTGCGGACCGAAATTGACTGGACTGATTCAGATCACAGGGCTGCAGACGGGGGAAGTCTTCGACCTCTTGAGACTGACGGCTGCTTCGCTGACATGCAAGGCTTCCTGCAACAAACAAGACTTGCTTGAACTCCCTACGTGGAGCTGCAGCCGCAGCCATTCTGGCTCAGGATCATGACTTCACTCGAGGCTGAAACTCGTTTCTCATTACAACATATTACAACGAGTTCACAGGCGGGAAAGATGCCTTCAGCAAGCGCGTTGTAACCTTGGAGCAACGTTCAGGACTACCGGGACTTCAAATATACATCTAACTCGGCTGCAAGCCTGCGGAAGCAATTGTTTCCTCTGCAGTAGCTCATGCAATAAGAGGCTGGCTCCTGAGCGGTACTCAAACTTTCCACGCCTAGACGGGGCCTAGACATTGCTAGTGGCACGCACCTGTAGCAAGGACACGCAGAAAGGGTTCACGCCGAACTGCTGGCCTTCATTATGCGAGACCGGCGTGTTGCAACATCTGAGTCTCGACAGAAACCAACCTCTGAGTGGATTGGGCTGGTGGATGGCGTGTGCTCTTCGCCCTTTGCAATGGCCGCAATGCCTGCCAAAGCAGCAGCAGCAGCAGCAGCAGCAGACTGTCATACGTTCATGAAAGATGTCGTTCAAAGCGAGCTTCCTGAAGAGTCAAGCCTTTCTCATTTATTAAAACAGCAAGCCGGGCAATCTGACATCAGGTGGGCTGAGATCAACTACTTACTACTTGGATCTG